CGTTTGTTGGAGATAGTGGAAAGGCGGCTTTACAGTATTTGAGTATTTGTGTAGTAGACAAAACTGTGCCGCTCATTTACACTTCATATTTCAATAACAGATTTCTGTTTGCTCTTTAATATTCACAGACCACATCACCACATTCTGCACCACAATTCAATTTTTATGACTGAAATTACTGTGCACAAGTGCAACAGTGACAAATGACGAGCAACAGGACGTTTTGACAGCTGTATGAACAGGACTACTGTGGCATTTAGCAGGGTAGCCAAACCCACTTTGAAATCTCACTGACCTAAAATCCTGCTCCAAATTGTTATCATTATTAAAATTTTAATTATTATTAAACATAAAATGTGTTTTGAATGGATGTGATTATGACTTATCACAAACAAATTATTTGATGCTCAAAACTTAAGTACCCAAATGCAATAAATAACAAAAGCCAGATTCTGACCTAATTTTGTCCATACCAAACATCTCCTACAATAACACATGTAAACAGTCTTTACATTTCATTTTTAACTGTTCAATGAGCAGGGAGGCTCTATTTGAGTGATGGTCTGTGAATGACTGGCCAGCATCTCAATGACCTTGCTTATTAAAGATCAATTAAATGCCTGGAGCCTCCGCACTTCCCAGAAGACAGAGAATGAATCAGAGCTCAAAGGCTAAATGAGATGCATGCCGATCACTAGTGAGAAACCTTTTGACCTGCTATGGCAAAACTGACCGTGTGTGTGAGAGCGCATGAGTTCTCACAAGGAACGTAAAAATGTATCAGGTGTCACCAGACGGCATAAGTTGTTTTTCGTCCTACAAAATCTCCATTTGAGGTGACTTGGAGGTATCCATGGCATAACAGCATTCTCAAGCGGCGGAACAATGAGCTTGTAAATTGAGCGGATCTTTGTGGGAATTGTTTTTTTGACTTTGTGGTCGAGTCTTTGAGTTCCTTTGGCCCAGTGGTAAAAAAGAAAAGGTGTTTGCTAATAGGGCTGCATGATTATGACAAAAATCATAATTGTCGATTTTTCCCTTGAAATTGTAATTGCGGTTATTAATTACGATTAACACAATTTACATTGATTGAATGATGTTTACACCATTGTTTGACGTAACTGCATGCCATATTTTTATATGAAAATAAACAAGCTGAAAACACTAACTGAAAAACTTTTATTGCTTATATAAGCCTCAAATGTCAACTATATTGGATTGGTTTCATATTTAAATAAAAAAAGTTAAAATTTGCATGGTACTATAATGTTATACTAAAACTAAAATTAAAACAATGGGAAAACCCTTAAGATCACCTGTAGAAAGAAAAAAAAACACATCTTAAGCATGCAGAATAACATAAGTGGACTTTGAACAATTGATTGCCGCTTCGCTAAAGTAATTGTGGCATCTGTAATTGTAATCACGATTAGACATTCAATTAATTGTGCAGCCCTATTTGCTAAGACAAGTATCGCAGTTACTCATACTTAGGATTAGGGATTTGAACAAACCCTTATCCCAGATGCATAAGTCATTGATCATTCATATTCAGCCGTTTGCACTATGAATGATACCTTGAATCATGCAGCTTGTCGAGAAGAGTTGTGCTATTATTAAGAGATCACACTTGCTCTTCAAGAATGCAAAGGCTACATTGAGCTCTAGTGTGTCTGCGGTAATGTCCATACTTCAGTTGGGTCATCCTTATGTAGAGTAGTGGGAAGCCTTTCTCTCCTGCCAAGCCTGCACTGAGAACCTCAATAACATGCAGTGTGGTTTAGTACAAGGCTACTGGGAGTGAAGGGGAGGGCATGCGGATCACAGACTCATGGAAAAATGCATGAGGGTTTAATTGTGGTGCTACACAGGGATAATCTAAGGATAGCCCTGAATGCAGATTAAAGCAACTGCACAGCATTTTAAGTGCATCTTGCTGGGGTTTGAATTGATTTCAGGTGATACGTGAATGCTAGATTGCTAGAATGAGGGCTTCACAAATCTGACTGTCAGCTCATTTTAGCGTAATGCTTTAATCAGGATTGGCTCTTACATAAAAATGGCAAATGTAAAACAGAAAAAGGTTTGAAGAAATAGCTTTCAGATGCCTTAATGAAAGACTTGAATTGTTTGCCTCAATGCACGGAATTTTCAGCTCTCCAAAACGGTTTGTGGAAGGTGCATCTCATCAATTAAAATGAAGAATGACTGCGGAAACATTTCGGATACTTATCTCTACAACTAATTAATGGTGCTCAGTTGCATGTGAACAAACTACTAACCCTGAGTATTAAATTTAAACTGTAACTATCCAGCACTGTGTGTGTTACACAACGTTTTGTTCTTTTCCATGCGTGCAGCTAATGATTCAGTGTTTTCAGTGTCACAGTAAAAGAGCATCTGAGATCATTTGGACTACCACTTCGGGTGTGCATTATTTTTCAATTAATTTAAACGCCTGTCTTCAATTATTCCTTACATATGAACTGCGTGTTGAAGAGAGAAGCCCAACATTTTGCTCTTTTACATGCGTGCAGCTCATGATTCAGTTTTTTCAGTGCACACATGAACTCATCTCTACAGGGGCTGCAAGTTTTGGTCTTAATGTGAATTTGGGATGCTTTTAATATGCATTTGAACATGCGCCAACCATCTTCCCAAACCTGTAATAAAAAGTGCTTAGAAACCGAAAGATAAGCTTTATGGGCACCCTGTGGTTTCTGCCAAAATTAAGAGCTTGGTAGTTTAACATAATGAAAAATAGAATGAATGAATGAATGAATAATAAGTAAATAAAAAGATGATGGATAAATATAGATAGATAGATAGATAATAGATAGATAGATAACCAAAGCATGACAATAGATAGATAGAATTAAGACAGCCATAAATACCCTGTAAAACTGTAATTATTATTATTTTTTAATTAAAAATGTAAGAGTGTTGGAGAATATTTTTTACAAGAAAATACGATTTCATTTTTTTAACTTAAATATTTCACGTTACCTGCTGCTTTGTAATTATATGTGAAATTTGCTAGCAATTTCTGAGTGGAAATAGTTTCAATTAAATACTATAACTTTTTTTTTACAGTAAAAAAAAAAAACGTATTATATTATTTTTCCACAGTGAAATATTACAATAGTGTACAAGTCTGTTTAATATTTAATAGTAACAACAACAACAATAATAATAAAATAATCATAATAATAATAATTATTATTATTACAGTCATATTGATATATTTGGCAAAATTGTGCAGCCCTACAAATAAGCACAGCAAACCTGGAACTTAAATATAACATTTTAAATTGCAGTTTGTTTTTTTGTCTTTTTTTTTTCTGATAAAAATGCGATTGCAATTAGATTTTTCACCTACATCGTGCAGCCCTATCCAGTACGCAACCACTGTAATGCTCTAGCAACCATTTAGAATGCCCTTGCAAGTGCATAACAGTGTGCTTACAACTCCTGGGCAACTACCTGCAATGTCCTGACATCAAGATCTGAAGTTCGATTTAACCTCTTCAAGGTATGAAATTCAAGTTCTTTTCAAGTGCAAGTCTTTCTGACAGTACTTTCTGATAAACTGCAAACCGTTATTTTTTGAGTGGCAGTTTCCTGCAGCTCATTCCAATCCCAAAGGAATTTAAACCAATTCCTGGATGGGAGAAACAATCTTATCACTAATAGTTTGGGTTACGTTGACCAAGCAAATGTTCAATGTATAGTGTTACAGTTAGGTGTGTAAGGCTATTATCCCACAAACGAACATTAGGGTCTCCAATGCTATATCACATTACATCACATGTCTTCTGTGCACACTGTGATTCACTGCAGACAAATCGCAGAGCAGTCCACAATTAAAAAGCAACACAGTCAGTTATGTCTGTCTCTATGACAACAATAATGTGGGCATGTGATGGATCCGTGTTGAAAGCCAGACACTCTCCAAATCCCCGCAGCCCTTACCACCCCCTTTTCTCCCTGTACCACAGTGAAACTGAACTGGGCTAGAGTGACTGTCACGCTTCTTAGTGGTTTCCTTCAACGATGGGCTGAATGGAGTGGATCACAAAGTCTGAATATACTCACAGCGAAGCTCGGTTAGAGTTACTGTTAGTGAGCACCTTGACAGTACAATTTCTGAGTGAAAATTATTTCAAAGTGAATCCTACCAAATATTTTTCAGTGTATTAGTACTGTAATTTTACAGATGTATTCTGAAAATAAATGCATTTTATTATTTTTCCTAAACACTTTTTCTACAGTGAAATATTGCAATAGCAATATTTCTTATTTTGTTTAATATTTTATTTAATATTAATAGTCATTAGTGGTAGTAGTACTACTATTATTATAGTCAAATAAGACTGAGAAAAAGGTGAGAAAGCAGCAGTTAAGAAAGCATCTGATCATAGCGATGTGGATATGGTTGAACCAGTTATGCAATTCTGCACTCCAGTCAAGTAATGTCATGTTCATTTACTGTATATAGCACTTTATACAATAGATTGCTATCAAACAAGTGGCTTTGCAATATTTAACAATAAACAATGTCAGTGTTGTTTTTAACTGGAGTTTCAATTTCAATCCCTACTATAAAGCAGCTCTGCGGCGTGCTCATGTTTTTACTTGTGGACGTCTAACCTCAACGGACTGAACAGAAGAAATGAACCAGAGAATATATTGCATAATAGCCATGGATCAATAAATGTTTGAAAGCGTTTTTGAAAGTTTGCACTGGCAAGCCGTTTCATACTCTCGTAATGAACTCCAAACAAACTTTGTTTTGGCCGGATTAAGCAGTTAGTTCTTCAGTTTCACTTGAAGTATATCGGTGCCTTAAGAGTTAAACTGAGCAGATGGACACAGGTGGAAATTTTCCCTTCTTCCAGCTTTAATGAACGCTGGTGCCAGTGTTGATGTGCTGTGATTAGGATCCAGTAACTAGAGCTGCCAGTATGCCTGCTGTCAGCCTGACCTCAACCCTTACTTACCCGGTAGAAGGCTGTTGTCAGGGGCAGCAAGGCGGCGGCTACAGTGTATTCCTCTGAGCTGGAGCAGTCCTGCGAGTAAACGGAGACAGCGAGATGTTAGATGATACCACTGAAGTATACAAACTGATGATAAAAAGAGCTTTGGCCAATTGTGCACAAAACATGACATCACTTGCTATTTTCCTATGTTATATAAGTGTTATTACCAAAGCATGACAACATGTCATAGTATTGGTTGCATGTCCACGCATCACATTTTTGTCTTAATGAATATGGATAAGCATATTATATATGGAAAAACAAAGAAGTCATGCTTATTTTTGGCTTGGCTTCCATTCAGTTGGTTTTCAATGCTTTCGAGTTGTTTTCCTCTATATGCTTTTAATATTTCATATAATTCATATAAGCCCGTTTTCAGTTTCAATTATCAATCTAAATTCATATTTTAAATTCTTAACTGACATGACACTGTCGTATTTAAACTGGACAAAGCTATTAAATCAAAACTTGTTGCATAAAAAGATCAACTGGTGTGGGAGTGACATTATATTTTATTAGGATCTTGGAAATAGTCAAATCCTGATGACTCGGAAAAACAGCTATTGGTTTTATAGCTTCACGAAAAGTCCCAGATTCATGATTTGTTGTATATGATGTGGCACTCTGTTAAAAGCTTTATCTACAATGAAAGTACATTTATTTATCAACGATTTTTCACTTTTATACATTATATATTGTCTTCTATAAGACAGAAGCTGCTGGAAGCAACACCAGGATTATATTTCTATACAAAACCTAGTCACCATCTCTGTTCTCTATCATGGCATAAACATCTGAATGTAAAGACAGCGGTAAATCGAAAACATCAGTTCCTGCATAGATCTCGCATTCCTGACCCCCCATGGATGGTGCAGCATGCAGAATTTCTCTTTCTCATGTTTGGAATGAACTGTGTCGTTTGCCAGGGGTGCTGGAACTTCCCATCATTCTAAGCTTCTGTACACAATTAAATCAATGGAAATTAACTCGGAGCAAAGTCTGTAATCCTTCACCATCAAATGATCCCAATTATTCTGTGGAGAGACCTTATCCTGCTCAGACTACATTCTCCTGAGGAAAATGTATGTGGCGTTTGTCTGTGCAAAACTCATCATGATGCTAAGCGGTTGCTTACTGGTTGTTTACAGGTCCAAGTCAGAAGAGCCCTATCAAAATAGTGTCTATGATATTCTGGTCCCCAGATATGGCCTAAAGGATGTCTACCAGGAGTGAATCTATCATTATTGTTTTATAAGAAAACAGCTTTACTACTTAATATTATTTAAAACTTTTGTTTGGCAAAAAATAGTGTTGCGCAACCAACACGCAGAAAGAAAAAACACATCACAGAGAGGTCACTATATCTTTTAATATATGTTACATTACATCAATTGTTCACCAGTGGATCCTCTGCAGGGAATGGGTGCCGTCAGAATGAGAGTCCAAAACAGCTGATAAAAACATCACAATAATCCACAAGTAATCCAAGTGAAAAGCTGCGTGTTTGCAAATCCATCATTCAAATGTTTTAACCATTTTAAAATACCAGTCCATAATCCATTATAACAGATTTTCACTTCACAAGTCATTAATTGATGGACTGGATTGGTACTTGTGGATTATTGTGATGTTTTTATCAGCTGTTTGGACTCTCATTCTGATGGCACCCATTCACTGCAGAGCATCCATTGGTGAGCAAGTGATGTAATGCTACATTTCTACAAATCTGTTTCAATGAAGAAACAAAGACATCTACATCTTGGATGGCCTGAGGCGGAGTTAATTTTCAATAAATTTCCATTTTCGGGTCAACTATTCCTTTAATATTTATGAATAAATAATATGGAGGGACATATGTAAATATACTTTTTAGTTTTACCTTAGCTTATTAACTTTTTTTTTTTGAGTCAATAAATTAAAACTTTTCTTGAAAATATTTTAATTAAAAGTTTTTCAAGACCACAAGAAACTAATTTTAATTCTGGAGACTCTTACTATATATGTCAATGACCCATATGACAGATCCTCAAGTTATTACATAATCAGCTTATATAAATCATTCGTTTTTCTAAAGAAACACTGTCCAACAGCGACACCAGCAGGTAAAGTTACAGCAGGAGTCCGCATCTCTCTTGCCTCCCCTGAGCCCATTGACTTTTAACAGGCCCTCTAAAGCGTGCGTTGAATTTGCTGGGGGGTAATTGAGAATGAATGGGGGAAAATCACGTGAGAGGAGGCAATGGCTCCATCGCGATATGATTGGATATGACTGGTTATTATCGGCTGTGATTGGTTCATGCGATAAATCCCGCCTCTTGTGTCTGTGCGTGTTCACCAATCAGTCCGAATTAATAATATAATGGCGTTAATGGGAAGACTAATTTAAAAAAGTGAGTAAACAAATCCCACACTTAGATATAACCACTTTGATACATTAAAATAAGATTTAAAATGTCATGAAAACATGATCTATGAGAGTTTTTAATGAGTAATTAGCTTGGTGAAATTTAAAGTGTCTGTGACCAATATTTATCGAGCTTTGATGACTGATGATTCAAATAAATTCAAAAATAATCAAAAATTAACTATTATAAAGAATATTTGTTACTGCCTTGAGTTATTATTTTGGAATAAATGTAAAATGATAAAAAACAATAACTTGAGATTCCTACTTGGCTTTAATAAATAGAATGTTGATTACATTGTTAATGTAAAAATATAAAATAGAATTGTTTCTGATAGTGACAGCAACATGAATTTACATTTGATTTTAAATAAATAAAAATAAAACTGAGGACTTTGACACCTCATTTCAGAACACCACCGCACACATTGATATATACAGTATATATATATATATATATATATATATATATATATATATATA